TTCTCTACATCACCATGTGTCCCCGGTGTGTCCCCGGTGTGTCAGGAGACTCGCATAGTGATGTCTTCTCTACATCACCATGTGTCCCCGGTGTGTCAGGAGACTCACTAAGTGATGTCTTCTCTACATCACCATGTGTCCCCGGTGTGTCAGGAGACTCACAAAGTGATGTCTTCTCTACATCACCATGTGTCCCCGGTGTGTCAGGAGACTCACATAGTGATGTCTTCTCTACATCACCATGTGTCCCCGGTGTGTCAGGAGACTCACTAAGTGATGTCTTCTCTACATCACCATGTGTCCCCGGTGTGTCAGGAGACTCACTAAGTGATGTCTTCTCTACATCACCATGTGTCCCCGGTGTGTCAGGAGACTCACAAAGTGATGTCTTCTCTACATCACCATGTGTCCCCGGTGTGTCAGGAGACTCACAAAGTGATGTCTTCTCTACATCACCATGTGTCCCCGGTGTGTCAGGAGACTCTCAAAGTGATGTCTTCTCTACATCACCATGTGTCCCCGGTGTGTCAGGAGACTCACAAAGTGATGTCTTCTCTTCATCACCAGGTGTCCCCGGTGTGTCAGGAGACTCTCAAAGTGATGTCTTCTCTACATCACCATGTGTCCCCGGTGTGTCAGGAGACTCTCAAAGTGATGTCTTCTCTACATCACCATGTGTCCCCGGTGTGTCAGGAGACTCACAAAGTGATGTCTTCTCTACATCACCATGTGTCCCCGATGTGTCAGGAGACTCTCAAAGTGATGTCTTCTCTACATCACCATGTGTCCCCGGTGTGTCAGGAGACTCACTAAGTGATGTCTTCTCTACATCACCATGTGTCCCCGGTGTGTCAGGAGACTCACAAAGTGATGTCTTCTCTACATCACCATGTGTCCCCGGTGTGTCAGGAGACTCACTAAGTGATGTCTTCTCTACATCACCATGTGTCCCCGGTGTGTCAGGAGACTCACAAAGTGATGTCTTCTCTACAATCACCATGTGTCCCCGGTGTGTCAGGAGACTCACAAAGTGATGTCTTCTCTACATCACCATGTGTCCCCGGTGTGTCAGGAGACTCTCAAAGTGATGTCTTCTCTACATCACCATGTGTCCCCGGTGTGTCAGGAGACTCACTAAGTGATGTCTTCTCTACATCACCATGTGTCCCCGGTGTGTCCCCGGTGTGTCAGGAGACTCACATAGTGATGTCTTCTCTACATCACCATGTGTCCCCGGTGTGTCAGGAGACTCACTAAGTGATGTCTTCTCTACATCACCATGTGTCCCCGGTGTGTCAGGAGACTCACTAAGTGATGTCTTCTCTACATCACCATGTGTCCCCGGTGTGTCAGGAGACTCACAAAGTGATGTCTTCTCTACATCACCATGTGTCCCCGGTGTGTCAGGAGACTCACTAAGTGATGTCTTCTCTACATCACCATGTGTCCCCGGTGTGTCCCCGGTGTGTCAGGAGACTCACATAGTGATGTCTTCTCTACATCACCATGTGTCCCCGTGTGTCAGGAGACTCACTAAGTGATGTCTTCTCTACATCACCATGTGTCCCCGGTGTGTCAGGAGACTCACTAAGTGATGTCTTCTCTACATCACCATGTGTCCCCGGTGTGTCAGGAGAACTCACAAAGTGATGTCTTCTCTACATCACCATGTGTCCCCGGTGTGTCAGGAGACTCACAAAGTGATGTCTTCTTCTACATCACCATGTGTCCCCCGGTGTGTCCCCGGTGTGTCAGGAGACTCACATAGTGATGTCTTCTCTACATCACCATGTGTCCCCGGTGTGTCAGGAGACTCTCAAAGTGATGTCTTCTCTACATCACCATGTGTCCCCGGTGTGTCCCCGGTGTGTCAGGAGACTCACATAGTGATGTCTTCTCTACATCACCATGTGTCCCCGGTGTGTCCCCGGTGTGTCAGGAGACTCACATAGTGATGTCTTCTCTACATCACCATGTGTCCCCGGTGTGTCAGGAGACCTCACTAAGTGATGTCTTCTCTACATCACCATGTGTCCCCGGTGTGTCAGGAGACTCACAAAGTGATGTCTTCTCTACATCACCATGTGTCCCCGGTGTGTCAGGAGACTCACATAGTGATGTCTTCTCTACATCACCATGTGTCCCCGGTGTGTCAGGAGACTCACTAAGTGATGTCTTCTCTACATCACCATGTGTCCCCGGTGTGTCAGGAGACTCACTAAGTGATGTCTTCTCTACATCACCATGTGTCCCCGGTGTGTCAGGAGACTCACAAAGTGATGTCTTCTCTACATCACCATGTGTCCCCGGTGTGTCAGGAGACTCACAAAGTGATGTCTTCTCTACATCACCATGTGTCCCCGGTGTGTCAGGAGACTCTCAAAGTGATGTCTTCTCTACATCACCATGTGTCCCCGGTGTGTCAGGAGACTCACAAAGTGATGTCTTCTCTACATCACCATGTGTCCCCGGTGTGTCAGGAGACTCACAAAGTGATGTCTTCTCTACATCACCATGTGTCCCCGGTGTGTCAGGAGACTCACTAAGTGATGTCTTCTCTACATCACAATGTGTCCCCGGTGTGTCAGGAGACTCACAAAGTGATGTCTTCTCTACATCACCATGTGTCCCCGGTGTGTCAGGAGACTCTCAAAGTGATGTCTTCTCTACATCACCATGTGTCCCCGGTGTGTCAGGAGACTCACAAAGTGATGTCTTCTCTTCATCACCATGTGTCCCCGGTGTGTCAGGAGACTCTCAAAGTGATGTCTTCTCTACATCACCATGTGTCCCCGGTGTGTCAGGAGACTCTCAAAGTGATGTCTTCTCTACATCACCATGTGTCCCCGGTGTGTCAGGAGACTCACAAAGTGATGTCTTCTCTACATCACCATGTGTCCCCGATGTGTCAGGAGACTCTCAAAGTGATGTCTTCTCTACATCACCATGTGTCCCCGGTGTGTCAGGAGACTCACTAAGTGATGTCTTCTCTACATCACCATGTGTCCCCGGTGTGTCAGGAGACTCACTAAGTGATGTCTTCTCTACATCACCATGTGTCCCCGGTGTGTCCCCGGTGTGTCAGGAGACTCACATAGTGATGTCTTCTCTACATCACCATGTGTCCCCGGTGTGTCCCCGGTGTGTCAGGAGACTCACTAAGTGATGTCTTCTCTACATCACCATGTGTCCCCGGTGTGTCAGGAGACTCACTAAGTGATGTCTTCTCTTCATCACCATGTGTCCCCGGTGTGTCAGGAGACTCACATAGTGATGTCTTCTCTACATCACCATGTGTCCCCGGTGTGTCCCCGGTGTGTCAGGAGACTCTCAAAGTGATGTCTTCTCTACATCACCATGTGTCCCCGGTGTGTCAGGAGACTCACTAAGTGATGTCTTCTCTTCATCACCATGTGTCCCCGGTGTGTCAGGAGACTCACAAAGTGATGTCTTCTCTACATCACCATGTGTCCCGGTGTGTCAGAAGACTCACAAAGTGATGTCTTCTCTACATCACCATGTGTCCGGTGTGTCAGGAGACTCACAAAGTGATGTCTTCTCTACATCAACATGTGTCCCCGGTGTGTCAGGAGACTCACAAAGTGATGTCTTCTCTACATCACCATGTGTCCCCGGTGTGTCAGGAGACTCACAAAGTGATGTCTTCTCTACATCACCATGTGTCCCCGGTGTGTCCCCGGTGTGTCAGCAGACTCACATAGTGATGTCTTCTCTACATCACCATGTGTCCCCGGTGTGTCCCCGGTGTGTCAGGAGACTCTCAAAGTGATGTCTTCTCTACATCACCATGTGTCCCCCGTGTGTCCCCCGTGTGTCCCCGGTGTGTCAGGAGACTCACAAAGTGATGTCTTCTCTACATCACCATGTGTCCCTGGTGTGTCAGGAGACTCACAAAGTGATGTCTTCTCTACATCACCGTGTGTCCCTGGTGTGTCAGGAGACTCACAAAGTGATGTCTTCTCTACATCACCATGTGTCCCCGGTGTGTCAGGAGACTCACTAAGTGATGTCTTCTCTTCATCACCATGTGTCCCCGGTGTGTCAGGAGACTCACAAAGTGATGTCTTCTCTACATCACCATGTGTCCCCGGTGTGTCAGGAGACTCACAAAGTGATGTCTTCTCTACATCACCATGTGTCCCCGGTGTGTCAGGAGACTCACAAAGTGATGTCTTCTCTACATCACCATGTGTCCCCGGTGTGTCAGGAGACTCACAAAGTGATGTCTTCTCTACATCACCATGTGTCCCCGGTGTGTCAGGAGACTCACAAAGTGATGTCTTCTCTACATCACCATGTGTCCCCGGTGTGTCCCCGGTGTGTCAGCAGACTCACATAGTGATGTCTTCTCTACATCACCATGTGTCCCCGGTGTGTCCCCGGTGTGTCAGGAGACTCTCAAAGTGATGTCTTCTCTACATCACCATGTGTCCCCCGTGTGTCCCCCGTGTGTCCCCGGTGTGTCAGGAGACTCACAAAGTGATGTCTTCTCTACATCACCATGTGTCCCTGGTGTGTCAGGAGACTCACAAAGTGATGTCTTCTCTACATCACCGTGTGTCCCTGGTGTGTCAGGAGACTCACAAAGTGATGTCTTCTCTACATCACCATGTGTCCCCGGTGTGTCCCCGGTGTGTCAGGAGACTCTCAAAGTGATGTCTTCTCTACATCACCGTGTGTCCCCCGTGTGTCCCCGGTGTGTCCCCGGTGTGTGTTATGTATCTGAGACCTATGCTATTGCCTAAACACAGCATGATAGGTGCCCTTTAAGTTGACAATTTCTTCTTCAGAAAAGTGTGTGATTCTGTCCAATCAGAAGAGACCTCTGAGCTTTGTGTTAACGAGGCGTTGGTGTGAATGAGCTCGTTAACTCCCGCTGACAGCCAATCACCTTCCTCCTCCTGAATCAGACTTCTCACAGTTTCTCCTCCTCCTCTTCCTCCTCCTCCTCTTCCTCCTCTCCCTCCTCCTACTCTCAGTGATAAGATGTTCCCGGCGTTTGGCTTCGGAGCTCAGATCCCTCCTGACTACAAGGTAATTGAACTGCTCGGCTCCCAGCATGCTCTCTGTCTGTCAGTGGGGGGAGGGGGGCACTTGAAGGGGGGGGGGGGGGGCAGTCCCCTTCAAGTGCTGCATTCAGGTTCATTTCTGATTATCTCTGTTCAGGTAAAAAACTGATTTAAATATCAAGATGTGTTTGCAACATATGTTTAAATGTTTAAATGTATAACTTGATTACTTGATAACTCAAAATAATGGCTTATTAGCTCAAAATCTATAAATAAGGAGGTTATATCTGAAAGACACTGATTGATATTTCAAATGAATGAATGAATATTTCAAATCATAACTAAGTATTTCCAAATACTGACTTGATATCACAAAACAATCACTAAGAATAATGACTAAATATCTCTTTATAATGGCTTATTTCCCAGTTAGTATATCTCATAAAACTGACCTAATATCTCAAAATAACATCCAACATCTCAAAAAAGTGACTCCATATCTCACAGGTATGAGTTAGTATCTCATCATAATGACGTAGTATATGAAAAAAAATGTTAGATTCTCAAACAATGTCTTAGTATCACTAAATATATAAAAAATAATGATTTATTATCTTATTATAATGAGAAAATAGCTACAAATAAGTCGTTAATATCTGATGATAATTACCATATCTTAAAATAAAATACTGACTGAATGGCTTAATATAGCAAATAAATAATTTAGTATCCAAGAATAATGACTAAATATCTCTTTATAATGACTTATTTCCCAGTTCTGACTTAGTATATCTCATAAAACTCCCATAATATCTCTAAATAATGACTAATTATCTGAAATGAATGACTTAATATCTCAAAATAACAACCCAACATCTCACAGGTATGAGTTAGTATCTCATAATAATGACGTAGTATCTAAATGATGATAATTACCACATCCTAAAATACTGACTGAATGTCTTAATATAGCAAATAAATGATTTAGTATCCAAGAATAACAATAGAGAAAGATAGAGAAAGGGGGGGTTGGGGGGGGGGGCAGCTGTCCTGTGACTCTGATTGGTTGTTTTAATAAGACAAAGGGAGGAAGGCTGCTGAGAAGAGAAACTCAAAGAGACGGAGGTGAGGGGGAGAGTCCTGTTTTATTGATGAAGATCTCTCTGTGTTTCTGATGAAGACATCAAACATCTCCCTGTTTCTCCCCCTCCCCTCCTCCCCCTCTTCCCCTCCAGGTCTCCCACGACTTTGCGGTGAATTTTAACGAGGAGAACCCAGAGTGTGCAGGTAGGCGCTCTGATTCCCTGCGCTCAAATATTTGACAGTGGAGGGAACGCTCTGATGTGAGGACGAGGATCAGATTACAGTTCAGGAGGGTCTTCATTCTGCACTCGTTACCATGAAGGTCCCTTTAGACTGGACTCATATCTGGAGAGGAAGTGTGGGGGGGGGGGGGGTTACATCTGAGTGCACTGGAAACAAATATTAACTTAGATTATTACACGGCTTAGTTCAATACCAATTCTGATTGGTCAATTTGGCCTAGCTTAGCATAGCTTAGCATGGGGAGACTGCTAGCCTAGCCTGGTTTCAGTCTCACATAAAACTCATGGCAATTAGCGAGTTAGCTGAGAAGATGCTACATGTGAGACACTGGAACACACACACACTGACACCTAATTAAAAGTGTGTGTGTGTGTGTGTGTGTGTGTGTGTGTGTGTGTGTGTGTGTGTGTGTGTGTGTGTGTGGTGTGTGTGTGTGTGTGTGTGGTGTGTGTGTGTGTGTGTGTGTGTGTGTGTGGTGTGTGTGTGTGTGTGTGTGTGTGTGTGTGTGTGTGTGTGTGTGTGTGTGTGTGTGTGTGTGTGTGTGTGGTGTGTGTGTGTGTGTGTGTGGTGTGTGTGTGTGTGTGTGTGTGTGTGTGTGTGTGTGTGCGTGTGTGTGTATCATTGACCTTCACACACCTTCAGACCTGCGACGGGGCATGCTGGGAAATCTCCATATTGGTCCCTAGAGACGGGGTGAACTTGACAGGATGTTTCTCTGCTGGATGCTTGTGAAGGATATGTTGGGAACATTTGCCTCAGCTCAAAAAAGGTTTAATGTTCAGGAATACATCAAACTAAAAAGACCTCCACCAAGGCCGATGGTGCATTCAGGGGCTCCTCGAATGCACCATCTTCCCAAGTTAAGAAGTCGTTCTACTTTGACTTTGGTGTGTTCATGAGCTCTAAGTCATAATGTAGGAACAACACGGATGAAGATGTGTTGAACATGTAGATATCTGTTGTTGAGGAGATGGGAATGTTCTCAGTAGGAAAGTCATTTTTCAGATTTTCCGATGCCCTGATATCTCAGAAAGTTAAATAAATTGAAAAACAATGTGTGTATCTGACCCCAAAATGAAGTGGGTTATCCTTGGTCAATGCTACACCTTTTCCTCTAGTGCATGAAAATAGGCCAAGGAATTGGTATTGTTTTCCTCGGGTTAGGGTTAGGCAAGGCAAGTTTATTTATATAGCAGCTTTCAACACAAGGCGATTCAAAGTGCTTTACAAAAATGAAAGACATTAAAGGTGGGGTAGGTAATTTTGGAGAAACCGGCTAGAAATCGCTAGAATTAGAAAATACACAGCCGGAACAAATCTGCCACTTCCTCACAGAGCCCCTCCTCCAACACACACGAACGTGCACATGACCAATGAGGGCACGAGATAAGTTTGTGCACAGATGGAAGGCTGACAGGCAGGTAGGCCATCCAGTTATTTTAGCCGGGCCGGCTCAGATGATTGGTCGTGCTTTTTACAGTACTACAGCTTCCACAGATGATATTTCTTTATGGATTTATTGTCAAAGCACTTCAGATATTCATTGCTATCTGGATGTTAAGAGCATTCCATGGAATATAACAAGTGTATCTCGAGCCGGTTTCTCAAACTTACCTACCCCACCTTTAAGAGCATTAAGAAACATATTATGAAATGGCATTTAAAAACACTCATTTAAAAGCAAAGACAATTAAACATGAATAACACAGGTACATGAATGAAAGTTACAGTGCAGTGTGAGATGTGAATATATCAATTATAATCTGCGGCGAAAATAAAAGTCTTCTGCCTGGATTTAAAAGTAGTCTTCGTTGCAACGGACCTGTGTGAGGGTCTAAGGACAGAGGGTCTAAGGACAGAGGGTCTAAGGACAGAGGGTCTAAGGACAGAGGGTCTAAGGACAGAGGCTCTAAGGACAGAGGGTCTAAGGACAGAGGGTCTAAGGACAGAGGGTCTAAGGACAGAGGGGGTCGTATTGTCACTGATATTCTGTACAAACTGTGAAGTCCACTGAGACAAATGTAACATTTGTGATATTGGGCTATATAAATAAACATTGATTGATTGACCTGCAGGTTTCTGGGAGTTGTTCCAGATGGAGCATAATAACTGAACTCTGGGGACAGAAAGCAGACCAGAAGACCTGAGAGATCTGGATGGTTCATAATGTAGCAGGAGATCAGAATAAACCATTCAATGCTTTATAAACCAGCAGCAGTGTTTTGAAATAAATTCTTTGACACACAGGAACCTGTGTAAAGACTTCAGAACTGGACTGATGTGATCCACTTTCTTAGTGTTAGTGAGGACTCGGTAGACAAACAAACAGTGCATTTTCCAAAGTTTTCCAGGGATATCTTGGATGTCCGATGGGTTTATTCATTCTTGATGTTCTCTGCCAGGGATCCAGGGCGTGGTGGAGGCCTACCAGGCCTGTCTCCCCAAGCTGCAGCTCTACGGCCCCACCAACATCGCCCCCATCATCCAGAAGGTCGCCAACACCGCCTCGCAGGAAGTGCACACCAAAGAGGCCATGGTGAGTGAGTCAGGAAACACCACACTTACAGTACACTCATCAGACTGCTGTTTGTCAAATGTTTGGAAAATACTGAATGTTCCTTCTATATCCGGATGTCTGACTACATGGATGACGCTCATGAGACACTGTGTTGAAGTTATGATAGCTATGTTCCTAAGATTGGCAGACGACACAGAATCTAGAGAGATAGACATATGACTGTCATGTGTATTGCTTACGCAGGCCTTAGCTAATCTGAGCTAATGTCAGAACACTGCTTTGAACCAGTGTTCCTCCATCTTGTTGACTGTAACACCCTCTCTTGTATATAAGCATATCAAGGACTCCACTAAAGGAACTCTTTTGTCCCATGCAACCTCTGTGTGTGATGACTACTTCCATTCTTGCAAGGATAATAAATACATGGATCCTGATATTGAAGATCAAGCCGGTGACCAGCGAGAGTTTTCTAACATCAAATAACTTCCCAACCTAAGAATCGAATAGTTTTTGTAACCTAAACGTTGACTTATTTGTCACAAAACCGTAATTCCATGCTTAATTAACCCAAAGTTTACAGAATTTTCACAGACTTTAAACAGATACAGGGACATATTCAAAAATAATAATTGCTTAATTGGGACATTATTCATTGAATTTGTAGATACGAGAAATATTCGATTGTAGTATTTTTACGGGCTCATATTTATATATATAACAAATAAATTCTAACATATTAACTTAGATTATTACACGGCTTAGTTGAATACTCGATTCTGATTGGTCAATTTGGACATGTCAGAGGTGTTTAATACTCAATAACACACTGCTGCTAAGCATGACATCACCGTTGCTATGGAGTGTTTAACTTTGCCCTTTTTATAGTTATAAGGGTTAAGCCAAATCCTAAACTCTGAACTGTGACATATCTTTGTGCAGATATGTCTGGTTACTCACTCAAAGCAAACTTTCAAGAACTACCTATTTTTCTGCTAGTTTAAATGGTTTTGAACAATAATTAGGAAAGTGAGAAAGGAAGAGACGGTTCTTGCACATGACAAGACGACTGCACCAACTCTGCTCTGCAGTTTGAGACAGAGTTGTCAGACTGCCAATGTCAGACGGACGCTAATTAACACCACTGAAGCTAAACATTTAGCAGATAACAGAAGTGTCTGAGATTAAAGAAAAGGAAACCTGTTTCTCTTTGGGCTTTCTTTGGCTGGATTAGTTTCATGTCAGGTCTGCTTCCCTTTTCTTGACACTTTGAGCACTGACTTGAATTTTAACGCACTTTTAGTTCATGTCTGACATACAGCTTTAAAATGAAACTATGAACTTATGTATTATAATTGTTCTTTCTAGAGCAGTGTTTCTCAAACTTTTTCACACCAAGGACCACTTGACCAATAAAAAACATACACGGACCACCCAACTCCCCAAATATCCAAAAACAAAAGGCCTGCTTACCATTCCAACAGTTTATAACACATTACAGCCTAATAATGACAGTTTAACCTTCTCTATATCGCCTCGTTCACACAAATACAACTACAGATTCTACAAGCATTTCGTTCATATGCGATTTAAAATGCCCAAGTTTAACATGAATTCAACATTAAACACAAGTTAATTATTTACACTGTTCCATTTATGTAGCATTGTGTACGCACTCATTGACTGCGTGTCTCTGTTTCCACCCATAATAGTCATTTTTAAACAATTTGAGAAACACTTTGAATTTATGATGTATTTATTTCGAATGTGAAATTTTTACCAATATACTCACGGACTACTAGGGGTCGCTCACGGACCACCAGTGGGCCACACTTTGAGAAACACTGTTCTCAAGGTACATCATGAATCAATGAATCAGTTTACCAAAGAATGTAAAGTCTGATTGTTCGTATATTCTCCGTCTCGCAGCAATACTTCATCCTGCTGATCCTGACGGACGGCGTCATCACCGACATGGCCGACACGAGGGAGGCCATCGTCCAGGCCTCGCACCTCCCCATGTCCGTCATCATCGTCGGGATTGGGAGCGCCGACTTCAGCGACATGCAGATGCTGGACGGAGACGACGGGATTCTGCGATCGCCCAAAGGAGAGCCCGTCCTCCGGGACATCGTCCAGTTCGTCCCATTCCGCAATTTCAAACACGTGAGTCTATTGCATGGACTTAAAAACAATAAAATAAAATCTGTGCTAATCAGATACAGGTACATTACTCTAAAGAGGATACATTTTCTTTTCTACCTTCTGAGGAGTTCCTCAAGGCGCGATCTTAGGTCCTCTGTAGTTTCTATCTACAAAGTTCCTTGTGGGCTCTAGAATAAGAAACAATATTAATTTCAGTTTCTATGCCCTGTTATGCCTTTATTATATCATATACTAAGTTGCCACTTCCTTAGTAATACATGTTCCCTTTCCCCAAGGTTAAATTCAGCTTTTGTTGAAACGGTTTCCACTGTATGATCAGCAAACTGAGCCAAAGCATGAAATAAAAAATAAAATCATCCCAAAATCTGACCAGAATTTAAATGTAGATAGATTACTTTATAAATCTTATTGGAAAATTGTCTAGGTCACAACATTTTAGAGCAAAAAGAGAATCACGTATCATGTCTGAGCCGAAATACAGACACAGGACAGATGGGTAAGGGAGGAATATTTAATGGAAATGAGGCAGGATTGGCAAAATTGTTGCTGGCTGGAGTGTGGCGAGTAATCCAGGAGAGGATTGGCAGAGGGAATCCCGAGGTATGAGCTGGCTGGCGGGTTAATCCATGAACGCTTCAAAGATCCAGCAGAGAGTCTCAAAGGGAAGAGGTCTTTGATGGCTGGCAGGTGTGCAGAGAAGGAGGAAGGGGAACAAACAATGTGACATGTCTCCATGCTTTAAGTGAGGGGAGTGTGTGGGAGAGAAAACTCAGGTGTATATCAGTATGTAGTGTCTCTACTTTAAAGAGTCCTCTCCTGCTGATGTTCAGGTGTATATCAGTATGTAGCGTCTCTACTTTAAAGAGTCCTCTCCTGCTGATGTTCAGGTGTATATCAGTATGTAGTGTCTCTACTTTAAAGAGTCCTCTCCTGCTGATGTTCAGGTGTATATCAGTATGTAGTGTCTCTACTTTAAAGAGTCCTCTCCTGCTGATGTTCAGGTGTATATCAGTATGTAGTGTCTCTACTTTAAAGAGTCCTCTCCTGCTGATGTTCAGGTGTATATCAGTATGTAGTGTCTCTACTTTAAAGAGTCCTCTCCTGCTGATGTTCAGGTGTATATCAGTATGTAGTGTCTCTACTTTAAAGAGTCCTCTCCTGCTGATGTTCAGGTGTATATCAGTATGTAGTGTCTCTACTTTAAAGAGTCCTCTCCTGCTGGTGATCAGGTGTATATCAGTATGTAGTGTCTCTACTTTAAAGAGTCCTCTCCTCCTGATGTTCAGGTGTATATCAGTATGTCGTGTCTCTACTTTAAAGAGTCCTCTCCTGCTGATGTTCAGGTGTATATCAGTATGTAGTGTCTCTACTTTAAAGAGTTCTCTCCTGCTGATGTTCAGGTGTATATCAGTATGTAGTGTCTCTACTTTAAAGAGTCCTCTCCTGCTGATGTTCAGGTGTATATCAGTATGTAGTGTCTCTACTTTAAAGAGTCCTCTCCTGCTGATGTTCAGGTGTATATCAGTATGTAGTGTCTCTACTTTAAAGAGTCCTCTCCTGCTGATCTTCAGGTGTATATCAGTATGTAGCGTCTCTACTTTAAAGAGTCCTCTCCTGCTGATGTTCAGGTGTATATCAGTATGTAGTGTCTCTACTTTAAAGAGTCCTCTCCTGCTGATGTTCAGGTGTATATCAGTATGTAGTGTCTCTACTTTAAAGAGTCCTCTCACAGGGATTTTAGCCTCTGCAGACCATTGACATGCACTAAAACCTATAGAACACTACAGGAGAGGGAACACTATAAAAAGTAGAATAGGGCCCCTTTAAAAAGACTATTTCCAGATTTTGTTGAAGCCAGGATTTTCTGTCTATGTTTTCTTAAAACGTCACATGAATGCTGCGGGAGCTGGATTGGTTTCCTCTTGCCCTGTTCACATTATGATTACTTTCCTTTGCCTTCGTTTGTTTCATCGTGTCGTTAGTTGCTCTAAAGCACTTTGTTTGCTTCTTAAATGAAGATATTATTACAAACACATTTAGCGGTCTGTTTTCCGGGAGCTAAAAGCCTCTAAATATGTGAACCAGATGGCGTGTTCATTTGAGAGATTTCTCAGGGATAGAGAATTATACAGTGTGTATATATAACTTAGTGTGACCTGAAGATATTGTAGCTGTGAAGCGGCGAGGAGCAGAGGGAGCGTTGTGAATCTGGATCAGAGCATATTGGAAGTGGAGGAGGACGAGAGGAGAGTGGGAAGCTATTGAAGAAATGAGTTTTTACCCGTGAAAACCGGAGACGTGGTGGCAACCCGCCCGCCCGTCTACAGTGGGAATGAATCTGAACAGTTTGGACTCGTTTTACAGGCAGTGGATATATTTCCCCTGCTGGGTTTAATCAGCGATGAACGAGTTTCTGTCTTTGGCCCGAAAGCAACACGTTTTAATTTGAAAGCAGCTCGGACCGCTAGCCTCCAGAAAACGACGCCTGCTGTCGCTCCTATAAGTAGAATTAGAACAAAGTTTCGTCGTCTTCGCCTTGGCATGCGTTTTATGTGCATCTCTCTGAGGGTGTGAATCCCTGTTTTATGTTGTAGTGCCAATGTGTGATGTTTGATGCAGTTTCATTTCCCTTCCCTCCAAGCAGCCACTGATGTTCATGTATGTCTGCACACATTAAACTAGCTGGAGACACTACTGGTGAACAGAGTGAAATATGTTACTAATAGAGATCACCATGAAACATCTGGCAGGACTTTGGCAGGACGAGGATGGCAGGTATATTTAACAAAAAGAAAGCTTTTAATAACAAAAGCTGATATACGAAAACAGTTTAACACAGAAACCGAGCGCCAGTCAACGCAACCTGAACAGGAAGTTAGACCAGAGAAAAGAGAAAATACATTAAAACAACAGGAATTAAAACACAAAAACAGAGCTCATGACAACTACCGGAGTTGATTTCTAACATTAGGACAATTATACGAATGGACAAAGTTAGTGAAATAAACTCTTAAATGTGTATCTTTAATGTAGCATACGTTGAATCACCTTCCCCTGAATATTGAGAGCAGAAACATTTTTAAGAGCTCTCCAGAGAGCTGCAGCCAAACACAATCACGCTGATTATTACTGCAAACAACTCACACCACTAAAAGCACGACATCAGAGCCAGAAGCAGAGGCATATACATTTTGTACATGTAGGACTTACTCCCACCTCTGGCGTTTATATATGCATGTGGAAAATGCACTCAAATGACCCCAGAGATGGGTTTTTTTTTCTAAACCTCTCTAAAAAGGTCAAATTTCACTTAACTTGATACATGGTACTTATTATATGTTATAGTTTGGATTCCCAAAGCTTTTAGTCTACTATCCCATCATCCAAGGGTGGTTTTCACTATAAGTAATGGGTTATTTGAGATATAAACTATAATTTACATTTTTTTACTATGTTCATTCTGAATTTACTTTAAAATAAAAACATCTATATTGATTCTGGCTTTTCTACATCCAACTCACAGGTTTATCATTACTTTGAGATAAAAGATTATTAATTTAACCCTTTTAGAAGTGAAGATATGGTCATTTGTTCTGGGAATGTCATTTTCGAGCCTGAGGCCTGAAAAGCAGGCTCCGGGCTTAACAGGTTAATTGTGGACCGAGCTTCCCGCTGGTATCAGGACGGCAGAAAGTCTACACATCTTCCGTTGCAACCTAAAGACCCATCTGTTTAGCTCATGCCTTGGTCATTAACTAAAATACATTGAAGTAGCTTGTTTGAAGCGAATAAATCTGCATGTTTTGGTTTATTGCACCTGTTTTAAGTTACTTTGTATGAAAGCATCAGCTAAATCAGGGGTGTCCAAACTTTTTTCACCGACGGCCACATACAGAAAAATCTTCAAAGGGCTGGGCCACTTACTAGAAGGGAGGTTTATTGCCTCATAAGTTAAATTATAAGTTAGCAAAATCAATCAAATGTAGGTCAATTATTCTTGATAACTGAATATGCTTTGAGAAAAAAGAACTGCCGACAGCTTTCCATAGGGTTTCATTTATTTTGTCAGCAGCTCATTCCTTAAAACAGAAGCCTCAGATTGATGATCATCAGAGGAAATATGAAGGGTATATTTCCAGGTTGTTCTGTAAATAAGTTATTGGGCTCTTTGTTTTATCCACTTAGATTTGTTAGATTGAATTTATTGTAAATTGGGCTTACTAACACATAAACACTGCTGTGTATATACAGATATATTTGAAGTAAATATAAGAAAAGCTCAAGTTTCATTTGTGGGTCATAATCCATTATACTTTTTGAATTTGCTGAGGGCAGATTCAAAATGGACCTAGGGCCGCATTTAGCCCCCAGGCCGTAGTTTGGACGCCCCTGAGCTAAATGAAACGTAATGAAGTGAAGAAACCTTGAATGTTTTCTGTTTCCTCCCCAGGCGTCTCCAGCTGCTTTGGCTAAGAGCGTTTTAGCGGAGGTGCCCAACCAGGTGGTGGATTACTACAACAGCAAGGGCATCAAGCCCAAAGTGCCCAGCCAGTTCCAGTCTTCCAGGCAGTTCGGACCCTGAGCAGCCTCTCCTGGACTCAGAAAATGTTCACCGTGTTTTGTTCTTTGTTGATGCGGATGTTAAAGGTGCTAAATGCAGTATTTACCATGAAGGAGGGGCTCATTTTAAATGTGATCACTGTAGCAACAGGTGTGTCAGCTGCATTGACATTGGGTGGCAATTGGACGTATTGGAAGTTGTTGGATTGCTTTATGGCACAAACCAGATAGAAAATGCTTCATTACCTCATGTTATATCTTCAGGTGCAAACACTGGACACACCATAACAGACAGAGGAAGCAGACCAAGCAGCTGAGATACACCAATCCAAAGACCAGTGAGTTATTGTCATCCGTCTCAACGAAGACAGCGACGAATCCTGACTCGGTGCAGTTTCTCAACATGCAATGATAGGCGTCTTGATGCTTATAGTTTGTAGGCCAACATATACAACTGTAGCTCAGGGTGTTTGGATGCACAACATACGTGGATAGTGTGTTTCAACCTCCTCTAGTGTTCCTGAACGCAGACGCATGAGTCTAAAAATATGATCAATATGACACGTTATATGTGGACCTGAGTGTGGTACATGCAGAGCTTAGAGCTAACATCATGCTGAAGGAACCTACATTGCAACTTTTTAACATCCCTAACATCTTGATCCAAGTTCTAATAACCATTCAAATCAGGGTTTACACTTATTGGTAGCAATGAATAGCCTGTTATGTAAGCAAATTACCTAGATATGTAGCATTTCACATTTAAGAAGTGTCGCTAACGTTTGTGGTTCTCTATTATATTGTGATGATGTTTACAATGACAGCAGGTCCCGACATCAGACGGATCAAAATCAGTCGAATATGGCCACGTATATCTATGCAGAGCTTTTGCGTAGGAAAAAGTGACGTAGCAAACATGTTTGTGCTGAGCAAAAACCAAGGAAGCTAACGTATTAGCTTTGGCGCACAATGCAATTTAAGAAAAACATCTTCCTCTTTAAGCGTATAAACTGCCAAACATAATTAACTTTTAATTTCTAACTAGTAGCAAGTGAGCTAGACTTTTGAGGGTTTTTTGCTAGCTTGCAAATTACTCTATAGCTAGCATGTTATCAGTTAGCACACCCGCGACTGCTAGCTCACGGACAAATAATCCAACCCAGTCTCACGACATTTCGTGTTATAGTCACGAAATTAATGTAATCTATTGATTCGTGTTCACCAACACGATTTTCACCTTTTTTTCGTGTCAAACAGAACGATTTAAAAAGCAATGTATTTCTATTGGTAGTATGTTTCGTGCCTGCATCACGTCTTTTTGTCCGGTCGGGTCTTGGAAGACCAGAAGCTGTGTGGTTCATAAAAACATGTTCTTACTCAATATCTTACCCTAAGCCTAACCCTATCCCTTTTATTTTAAATTGTATAATGTCTGAGTTTTGTTGCCGTCAGTGAGGAAAAGAAATGGCTCAGAGCCTCAGAATACTGACATCTGTATTTTATGTCATCTTTTTTTCCTTCTAATTTGTTATTATTTGGTGCAGGCACGAAACATACTACCAATATAAATACATTGCTTCTAAAATCGTTCTGTGTCAGAATACTGAAATCTGTATTTTTTTAAATGTCTTTTTCCTTCTAATTTGTTATTATTTACATTGCTTTTAAAATCGTTCTGTGTGACACGAAGAAAATGGCGAAATCGTGTTGGTGAACACGAATCAATAGATTAATTTCGTGACTATAACACCAAATGCCGTGAGACTGGGTTGAATAAGCAAGTAGTCACAAAGCTGCCAAGACTTCCTGGTTGTGCAAATGTCAGTGACATGAAGGCTCACACGTTCGCTATCTTTAGTTATTTACTATCCCACATTACATGAACACAAAAAGGAGGCTTCATCTCATCTCAGTCTAACTTATGTTCCATGTGTAAAAATGCTAACTGTCGCACCTTTAGCATCCGTTGTGCATGCGGGGCCTGCAGAGGCTGAGCTGATCGTAACATTCAGGCTTGTTTTACTGGACGTTAAAAGCACACAGACACAACACTGACCAATCCTAACGCTGCTTTCCTGCAGACAGCATGACAGGTAAACAGGGAAACAGTGAATGAAGGAATGTATGACCCCCCCCCCTTCTGGTTTGGTTTTCTAAGAGTTTGTGGATATTTTGCTACATTTCGTAAGGTTCGTACGTTGTAAAGCATTTTGGATCTCTGCCAGTTGAAAAAGCAAGCTGCCTTCACAGACGTCTGCATCCTCTTCTGTTCTTTTCTAAAGGCGGGGCAGATGCATGAGCTGTTGTTTTGCATGCAATCTCCATGCAGGGCTCCTCGTGTGGTTTCTGTTGCCTGGTAGTGAGTAATACGAGTAATAATGATGTTTACAATGTTCCCGGTGACGGGGCTGTTCTACTCTCGAGCATGTTCACATGTAAGCAAAAATGTGTGAGTAGATTTAAGAGCACAACCTGAGTATACTTGGAGAGTTTTTTTAGATTAGGGTAATATATTTCGGTCACTGTGCAACAACACCTGCCCTTATCTCTTTCCGTCACTGAAGAACTGATTCACTTTCTATTGGTTTTACATTGGACGTATCCAATCTGGACCTTTTATAGGTGCAAACAGGCTTTCTCAATCCTTTTTTTCTATTTTTAGGAAAGGACATGTACTTCAAAGATATCTGCAGTTTGCACGAACCCTAAATCAGGATCAGATTTCACATCCTATCCATTAATTCACCACCACATACTCAGATCTAGGATGCTTTTGCAGGAGACTCAACAAGGCAGTCCAGACGTCCTAATTCCCAGGTGTCTGTTAGGATTAAGACAATTTGTCCCTAAGTGTTTCTAGACTTTTATACTAGCTAACCATCCATCTCCGCTTATAGAAACCCAGGCTAGGAATTAGTGGTCCTTCAGAGAAGTTCTGGTCCTGGTATCCTTCTGGTAGGACATGCTGAAACTCCCCAGGGAAAGTGTCCATGATGCATCTTAATCAAAGCCCAGATCCATTGTAATTCACTCTAAGGTCTGGATCACATTTTACATTTATCACCATTTATCCAGCTCTTTGTCTCAGGTTCAGCAAGGTTACATCCTTAAGTTACCCCTCCAAATATCTCCTCTTTCCTCCCAGTTGGACTTGGAGAGAAAACCCTCTACAGGAAGGCATCTTCAGAACCACCAACCTGTTCACGATGTTACGTTTCACTCTTCAAATGTAGTCATTTTAACCCAAACCAAAACCTTTGTTGAAGTTTGTGTTCAAAACTAGCTTTCGACTTCCTGAAACTAGGTGGCATTTTGCATTCAAATTAGATTAACATTTTATTCCCAACAGACCCTTTGAGTTCAGTGTTTGTGATTGCATATTTATTATTTATAGTGATTACATTAATGTGCTAGACTTGTGTTTGTTGAGATGAACAAAGATAGAAAGATGGTGGACAGGTGTTGGGTCACGTGACTTACCGTTGTGTTAACATGCAGTAATGTGTGCAAAACAATGATAAATGACTTAAGATAATAAAAGTGTTATCAGTAAGCTCTGAGTGGGTTCAGTTATTATCAGTGGCGGAGAGAAGATAATTACGTTTACCTGAGTACTATAGTTTGACACACTTGAGTATTTAAATTGTATGCAACTTTATAATTCTGCTTCATTCCATTTCAGAGGCAAATATAATAATAAAAAATGGTCAATTCCTATTCTGAAAACATCTCAAACATTTGGATTGTGCTAAATGATATATAAACATTACATTTTTACCAAAGATAATACATTGAAATGCAACCCTGTAACTGTAGTAACTTTATAGCAACAGATTTGCAAAGCTAATGTGTGGTTTCAATGTGGTGCGTTAACCTGTTGAGCCTTGAGCCTGTTTTTCAGGTCTCAGGCTCGAAAATGACATTCCCAGAACAAATGACCATATCTTCCCTTCTAAAAGGGTTAAATTAATAATCTTTTTTCTCAAAGTAATGATAAACCTGTGAGTTGGATGTAGAAAAGTCAGAATCAATATAGATGTTTTTTATTTTAAAGAAAATTCAGATTTTACATAGTAAAAAACTGTAAATTATAGTGTCCGTCCAAAACTTATTTTGTACTTATAGTGAAAACTACCCTTGGATGATGGGTTAGTAGACTAAAAGCTTTAGGAATCCAAAGAACAACATATAATAAGTACCCTGTATCAAGATTGATGCAAAACAAGTGACATTTGACCTTTTTAGAGAGGTTTAGTAAAAAAAAAACACTTCTGGGGTCATTTGGGTGGATTTTCCATATCTCTGGCCCCCCTTGGTCGATTTTGATGGTTGACACCTCTTTCTGACCGTTAGAGCCAATAGAATCGAAGGAGGAGTCCCCCACACACACACGTTGTGAAGAGAAAAGGTGGGGGCTTCGCGCATGTAATTTTGCATCAGAGTGAACCTATCTCTCGCTCTGACATCTGGAAACGGAAAAGCAGTTTTAATGCTTATGGATTATCAGAAATCATTTCAAAGGGACACAGACACATTGGATTAATCTATGGATTAACTTCAGCAGCGTTTTTATCGTTTTAATGCCATTGAAGACCACTTTGGAGAGACTACAGAGCCAAGGTAAAAATGTTAGCATTTTTAGCTACCTAGCGTCACCTGTTTTGATGTCCGTTTTTGTTTATAACGTCGCCATTTCGTATAATTCAGTGATAATGAGGGTACCCATCGATTCTGTGTCACCTCACGATGTGAAACGATGTCATGGATGTAGAGAAGAGATAAATAATAAGGTTTTGTGAGTGATTTTCGGTGCAGTAAGATGTTAGCATTTTTCGCTCGTTGCTAATTCAGAGGCTCAGTGTTAGCATTGTGGGTTTTATTTTGAAAAGAAAAAAAAAATGATCAGTTAGATGAGTTTCTTCCCGTTACATGGATATAAAACATTCATAGTTTATTAAATGAACATGCCCTCAGACACTGTTTCCTGCAAGATGTTGCGGCAGTGCCCCGGTACCGTGGTCTCTCGGGCTTAACAGGTTAATTGTGCGGCACATTCAGAGCTTAGACGCGCTGTTTATTTATCTTATAAAAAGATCACATTTTGATTTACTAAAAACCTTCTAATACAATCCTGTTCATTTATTCCACTGAAGATTCCTGCTAAAAAGGTGAGGAAATAATCTTTGTTGTTAAAATAATTCATTTAATTTAGTAGAAGCGTTAATAGTGAAGTCTTATTTAATTCATTGAATAACTCTGTTAACCTGTTACGCACGGCCCCCCCGGTACCGGGCGGATAAACGCGTCATTTGCAGGAAACAACGTCTAAGGAATCTTAATATTTAATAAACTATGAATGTTTTATATCCATGCAACGGGAAGAAACTCAGCCTCTGAATTAGCCACGGGCGAAAAAATGTAACCTAAAACGGCACTTAAACTCACAATAACTTCCTTATTACTTTTCCTAGATGCACAGCCAACCACTCGTTTTTGGTGTCCTGGAGACACTGAATCTATGGATGCCCACCTCAATACTCAGTGATAAACATTTGCGACGCTATAAACGAAAGCGTACATCATAACATGTCGAGCTAGGTAGCTAGAAACGCTAACATGGCTTACCTTGGTCAAAACTGGTCTTCAATGGCATTAAAACGATAAAAAACGATGCTGCAGTTAATCCATAGGTTAATCCAATGTGTCTGTGTCCTCTTTGAAATGATTTCTGATAATCCATAAGCAATAAAACTGCTTTTTCGTTTCCAAATGCCAGAGCTAGAGATTGGTCCACTCTGCTGCACATTTAAATGCGCGCAGCCCCCACCTTTTCTCTTCACAACGAGTGTGTGTGGGGGCCTCCCCCTTCGATTCTATTGGCTCTAACGGTCAGAAAGAGGTGTCAACCATCAATATCGACCAAGGGGGGCCAGAGGTATGAAAAAAAAAACATTTTCACCCAAATCACCTCAGAGGTGGGGTGGTTTTGGCTAAACCTCTCTAAAAAGGTCAAATGTCACTTGTTTTGCATCAATCTTGATACAGGGTACTTATTATATGTTGTACTTTGGATTCCTAAAGCTTTTAGTCTACTAACCCATCATCCAAGGGTAGTTTTCACTATCTATCTACCTATCTATAAAAAATAAT